CTTACTCTTGATGACATAACAGAAAAGCAAACATTTCTCTGCCCTGCGATGCTCGCTGGCTTCCTCCACCCACACTTGAGTGGTGACAAGCATACACCCGCACTTCCATTATCATCCAACACAACAAGAATGCCTCCAGAAGGATAATTACTGAAACTTGAAGAGCCAGGGCTAATCCTAAGTACTTCACTTTGTATGACTGCCTTGCCCGCCTGTCTCTTAGGCTGCTGCTCACGCTGACAAAGTGCGATGTTGGGTTCAGTGAAAGTCAATAAGAAGACTTCATGGCCCCCAGATACAGCATCCAAGACACAATACACTGTTGGGTGACGTTTTGCCTTAAGGAACCCAATAAGCAGTCTGTGAAACCCGGATCATAACCTTCAATGCCTGGTAAACCCCAGAGGAAACAGCTGAACCTTTTATAGTTAAAAAAATAGGTCGAGATTTCAAGAAGGAATAAAGAACGCTAAATTTCAACATTATCCAACGCTGTAAGGAGTGCCTCTGATTTTTATTGCCATTTACAGCATTTACAGGCATACTTTTGGGACAAGACCCATCTCAAAGCATTCACCGTCATTCTGAGGATATTTGTAATTTAACATGCTATTATCTTAATTTAGGGAGAGAAATTATGCCCATCAGAATCCCTTCTGACAAGGTTTCCACGTAAAGCACCAATGTGGCAACTGAGAACAAAGAGGCTGCTGCCAGGGACTGTCAGAGATAACAAGCAAGTTTAAATTAAAGCCTATAAACAGCCTCCAGAGGGTCACAGGCTAGGGAGAGCCTATCTTTATGAGAAAGTGGGGCATTTGATTTTTCGACCCACGGGAGAGGATGGACAGCGTCCCGGGTTTGATTTCTGTCGGAGACAAAACTTGAAAGGCAGGAAAAAGTTTTCCACCGGCTGTGTCCATTCATCCAAAGGAGGAGCCAGCAGCTCCCGCTCTGCCACACAAAGCCGGGAACAGCTGGCTGATCGATACCTGACAAAAGCTCAGAGGTTAGAGCAGTCAAAAGATTGTTAACTAGCTATTTTATTTGCCAGACATTTATATCATTGTTTATGGTCCGGTGCACCTCTTCAGCACAGGCCGTGCTGCCCACCTGTGCTCGGACCATTTTCAGCGGGGCCTTTTTTCACGCACGTTTCATGACCTCCCGTGCAAAGGAAGGGAAGGAAAAAGAGGATAGATGATCTACAGACAGACAGACAGCACCTCTCAGCCCGTAGCACATGGCTTTGCTGCCACCACTCTGGCTCGTGTTGCGAGTGCCCCTGCAGGCTGGCAGAGAGGGGAGACCCTCTCTGTGGCTCACCCAGGCGGAGAGGGGCTTCCTGCACATCTTTTGTCACACCATTTGGGCCCTTGTGTCTGTGGCTGCGCTGCTCCTCCGGACCCACTTGGCAGCCACCGTGCAGACGGACATCTGCTCTTTGCAACTTCCTGGTGAATAGAGAAAACAACCAGCAGACCCTGCACTCTTCACCACACACACACACACACAGCACATGTATCCATCCATCTATCTATCTAATTAAAATGTCATGCTTTTTCCTTAACAGTGCGGTTAAGAATATGCATGGATTATATACCTTATACCTTTTATGCACATGAAGGATTAGAATAGAGTCTGAGCCAGGAGTTTACTTAATTGCTGATAACCATCTTTGGTTTTCCTCCAGAAAAATCCTTGACAGAAAAAGCCCTCAGATTAGGAGCAACTTTTTTTTTTTTTTCAAATCGCCCTATTAAAAAGAAGTAGGAAGGAAAAAAGTATAGTTGTGCATCTGAGGCCTGACTGCTTTCTCCCGGTTTTTCTAAGCAGAGTGAATCTGGAGCACGCAATATTGAACACACTTTGTTCGTGCTCAGCGGCCCAGAATAACTCGGTCATTATGGTGGCAAAAGGGACAGGTTTTGAGTTTGATTTCATGATGGTAATATAGCCCATGTGTGTAGGAGAAGAAAGCCTTCAATGGGGACATCTGTTCAATGCGGCTTACAGTTACAGCCGTGCGCGATAGGAACAACTTGTGCACACCATACGAGCGAGAACCCGCACCCTAACGCTGGCTCAAACGCAACAGGCGGTTGAGGACTTTAGCCTCGTTTATAAGTATTGGTTTAGAATTCATTTGATTTAGTCGTGCACGTGAATTGAACGCCGCTTGTATTTCCGTGTGACTCCAGCAGCTCCGTTTCCGTTCGGGGAGTTATCACTCTGTGACCTCTGACATCAGCCTTGCTGGTATGATCACTAAGTAATTTGTCAGCAGAGAGCCAAACGTGTCCCCCGCAGCTGCAGTCCAGACTTTGTCCTTTACATCACTAAAAATAAAAAATAATAATAAAAAAACGATTTTAATAAATGAACAAAAAACACAAATACGCATGAAATTACCAACCTCTTAAAAACAGAACATTGTAATTTTATGAAGGAGAAGAAATTCCCCTATTGTAGATATTTAAGCATATTAAAATAAATATATTTGCGATTTTAAAAAAAGTACTACATGAGTTTGCGTTCATGAGGAGGAGACAGGGGTCAGCGGAATTTTACCAAGTTATTCCTAGTTGAATTGTCAGTGTAAGATTTATCTGGCTTGGTGCACGAGCCCACCGGCAGCTGGGGATGCTGCTTTTCTGCGCTGGGGGCAAACGTCGATGGTCACTGAATGCACTGCGGAGCAGAGGAACACGGTAAGGGATTTTTTCATCTGCGTCTCTCCGTGAGCTCCGCGCTTCTTTTTCGCCTCTGGCGCTTTTACGCATGATTCCGCAGTTCATTTCCAGAGTTTGTGTAACGGGTTAGTTTTACAGGAATGAAACAACGAACAAGACAGTAGATTTATTATTCCCAGCGTTAATAAGCCAGGTGGTGGTGGAGTGTGTGTGTGTTGTGTGTGTATGTATATATATATACATATACACAAATACATACATATATATACACACACACATATATATATATACATATACAAATACATACATATATATATATACACAAATACTTACATATATATACATATATATATATATATATATATATATATATATATATATGTGTGTGTGTGTATGTGTGTGTGTGTATGTGTGTGTGTGTGTGTGCGTGTGTGGTGCAATTTGGTTTTTAACATCTAAAAGCTATTTATCGTGAGGCCTATAAGCTGTCCCTTTCAGTTTTAACGCAAATAAGTGAAATGGTTGCAATTTACTGCTGCAATAGCTGTCAGATCATTTGCATAGTTGTTTCATAATATTTGGTAAATATTGCTACGACGACACACAAGTGCTGTGAAATTATTAAGATAATTAAGATGCAACGAGAATCTATGCATGTATAATGCTGATGCACCTGTTTCGGAATCTTCCAATGCAAGGAATTATTTGGTCTCTTTTTCCGACCCTTTCTCTTGTATTTGCTTTAACACCTCATGGTAAAGCAGATCCTAAATCCAACCAAAAAAGACAGAGAGAAAAAAAGCTGTTGTCCAGTCATAGAAACACAAGAATTAATCAGATAGTCAATCTATCACACTGTGCAATAAAGGAAGCGACATGGGTTAGGCAGATGATGTGATGAATAATCCCTGGTCGTTTTAATTAACTTTTCCCTGTCCTGTAATGACCAAGCTGGTCAACAGACCCGGTCAATAAGCATGTTAATATCAAACAAATAAAACTGCGGATGATTAAAAACCTCCCGTGTTATTAAATTTGAAATTCAAATGAAATTTATGCTCCCAGCACACACTGCATGCTAATAGCTCCGGCAGAGAGGTTCAACACACGTTTTGCCTACAAGTTCTTATTATGTAACATGTGCTTCCACGATGGCTTTTTCGCAAAATGTCTACGAATAAAGTGATGAACCAATTTATTAGTACCAGGTTACCGTTGTAGTTTCAGACCCAGAATGCAGTCACTCACTCTAAATAATCTCACTTAACCCGCACCACTAACATAATGTATTTTGCCAATTACCCACAAAAGAATTTACATATTTCTAAATTTGGTCATGTCAAGGCAGCAGATCTTTAAAAGTCAACTACACCGACCTCTCATCTTCTTCATCTGATGTTTTAGACTAATATAGCCTATAATGAAATGAATAATCCCCCCCACGGAATGCGTGCGCTGTGTACCGGTTTTAATCAAAACGGCCAAGGTAATTGAAAACAATTACAGTAATGCGCAATATAGGTCCACGGAAGGAACAATGCAGCCTTTATATCTTGCGTAATTTTGTGTATATTAACTCTTAAGAAGTTAAAAACATGCAAATAACCCAACCCGGGTGCATCATGCCAGAACCAGAGGGATTGTAGGATATGTGGAGGCTCTTGTACAAAATTAAAAAAGTAAAGTAGCACATGAAAATGAGAAGTAATAACGATAAAAGACACACATCCAAAAACCTAAACTGCACTGAAAGGCCAATGAACTACATAAGGAAGTGGAGCTCATCACTTAAACTTTAACTCAGTTATATTTGTGGGGTCAAACAATAAAACTTTTCGAAAAAACGTCACTTCAAACGAAGAACCTTGTTTTGAATTCTTTCTTTAGGGCAATCGAGTCTGAGGCCGTTCTTTCTGTTGGCACGATAGCCTTTTTTTTCTTTGTGTGTTTATTCATATAACTATTTCTCAACATCACCAGTCTAAGCCCGTCATTCCTCCTTCTTCTTTCGAATTTATGGAATGTGATGTTTTGTAAAATTTCAAAAAACCCCCCCCCCCCCCTCCCTCCCCACCCCTCCCCATCCTAATTCCTCCTTCCTAATTCACTCTCATTTAACTTTACCTTCCTTCCGCTGTCTTTTATTATGGAGGGGGCGGCGGAGGGGGGCGGGGGGGGTGGAGGGGGGTGGGGGGGGGTGGAGAGCTGTCTGAGGCGCTCTATTGATGACCTCACGGTAGTGTGTGGCGGTGCGGCTGGACGGGGGCCGCTGATTGGTCGCCCGTGTCACAGCGGCACTTCAAAGCCAGAGAGGAGCCTACAATTGTGGAAGAATGGGCGGAACACATCATTGTATTGCACACCTCTAAAAAAACAGTGCTCTGATTCATAAATATAAAAAGATCCTCTGAGGAGGGCAGTGTTTTTGTGTGATGGCAACTTCACTTCTAGGGGTGAGTCTAAAAGACTTTCTTACTGGTTTAATTAGTTCTTGTCATTGTCGTGCGGTGGGGGATTAAACTTACAGCGTCCGCAAAGTAGCAGCAAAGCCAGTGTGTTGCGTGTATTTTCAGCAGGCGGTTCGTGTGAGAAAGCCTCCGTAGACGGGTTATAGAAGTTTCTAGCTGTACTTAAAACACGCATGTTGTCTGTGGTGCGCACCTTGGAGCTCGTTTGTAAGCGCAGTTCGCCTTCTGCTTTCTATTCGTCCAGGTAGGAAGTGGCATTAATCTCGGGTGAACATTTTCAAGACTTAAAAAAAAAAACTTAAACAAGAGATTGCTTGTCTGTTTTCGAAAACAGGTTTTCTTTTCTCCGCTGAACTGATGTACAGCATTAACTGTATGTTTGATCAGGCTGTTAAACTTACTGCTTTTCTCGTCCTTTCAGGAGGAGCCGAGGCTAGGATCGACTCCTTTAGCCATGTTAGCTGCAACATGTAATAAAATAGGGAGTCCGAGCCCTTCACCGTCCACAATTTCGGATAATTCCTCCTCGTTTGGGAAAGGCTTCCACCCCTGGAAAAGAGCCACCGCCAGCAGCTGCAGCCTCGGGTCCGGCCTGTCCGGGTTCGGTGTGTCCCGCAATGGATCTGGCATCTCGGACTCTTTCGGCACCAACAACTCCACCGGATCCAGTGCCTTCTCCCTCACGTCCGGCACCTCGTCCGGTTCCCACTTTGGAAACGATTATTCTGTTTTCCAAGCCTCCGTTTCGAGCAACTCTCAAGAGTCCAGCCACCAGCCGGTTTTCATCTCCAAGGTGCACACGTCAGTGGACAGTTTGCAGGGCATCTATCCCAGGATGAGTGTTGCGCATCCTTACGAGTCCTGGTTCAAATCCTCCCACCCCGGTATCCCTGCAGGGGAAGTGGGCACCACCGGAGCCTCTGCGTGGTGGGATGTGGGAGCGGGATGGATTGATGTTCAAAACCCGAATGGAGCAGCACTACAGACGCCTTTACATTCCGGTGGACTCCAGACCTCCTTACACTCTCCCCTGGGCGGATATAATTCTGATTACTCGAGCTTAAGTCACTCTGCCTTTAGTACAAACCCCTCTCCGCACCTGTTGACAACTGGCCAGCACCTGATGGATGGTTTCAAGCCGGTGTTGTCCTCTTACCCGGACACAAGTCCTTCCCCGTTAACCGGGGCGGGGGGGACCATGCTTTCCGGGGGTCCGCCTGCATCTTTAGCGGGTTCCCCGAGGTCATCTGCCCGGCGGTACTCCGGCAGAGCCACGTGCGACTGTCCGAACTGCCAGGAGGCGGAGAGACTGGGACCCGCGGGCGCCAGCCTCCGGAGGAAAGGTCTGCACAGCTGCCACATCCCGGGCTGCGGGAAGGTGTACGGGAAAACGTCCCACCTCAAGGCGCACTTGCGGTGGCACACCGGCGAGAGGCCGTTCGTGTGCAACTGGCTCTTTTGCGGGAAGAGGTTCACGCGCTCCGACGAGCTCCAGCGACATTTACGCACGCACACCGGGGAGAAGCGCTTCGCTTGTCCGGTGTGCAACAAGAGGTTTATGCGTAGCGATCACCTGAGTAAACACGTAAAGACTCACAGCGCCGGGGGCTCCGCCGGCTCTGGCTCCGGGGGCAGCGGGGGGAAGAGGGGCAGCGACACCGACAGCGAGCACAGCGCACCGGGAAGCCCTCCGTGCCATTCCCCAGACCTGTTGCACCCACCCGAATCCACCCAAGGCGTGGGTATGAACGGCCTCTAAATCTCTCCCCGTTGATTTAGAAAATTGAAAAAAAAAAAAAACTGTACAACAACATGTTGTGATGGGATGGTCCGAAAGGACAAGAGAGTGGACATACTTTGACGTATGCGACGTGTTTGCTCCTGAGTGTTGTCATATAAAAAGAGAAAATTGGCCCGTGCGTTCTTTTGACTTTTTTTTCCGAGTGTTTAAGACTAACTGCATCATATGATAGCTGTCCCATCAGAACTTATCTAGGCTTCATCTGCGGTGTGAGAGTCAAATCAAGTTTTTGTGTGGAGCAGGAGACCTGTGATACTTCTTTGCCACCTGGCCTTTACAAACCCCCAATGTTGTATTTCTCACTATAAGACATAAAAGACGAAAAAAAATAAATTAATGAATGGATATTAAAACGCTTAGCTGTGAGATATTGGGGGCCGCAGAAATCGCGCTATTGCATTTACACACGTAGTCGTGAAAACCAAACACTGGCACTTTATTATCGAGCGAGACGAGTTGTTTTTGTCACTGCGGATGGACAGCTCGATAGGAACAATTTACCTGTAGAAGATGGTGAGCTGTGGGATGCAACGATTCCCATTTGATCTGTTTCATCCCAGAACGGAGGAGAAAAAGGAGATCCAGATCACACATTGCCATTCATCTCGCAGTAGTGCGCCAAGTTTGTAAGTAGGACAGCCGAGGTTATACTTACACTTTGACTTTGCTGGAAATTGTGTTGTACATAAAAGAAATGTAGGTTAGAGTAATTTCAGCCCAATGTAAAGGTGAGCAATGTATTTGTCCAGGAGACGATTTTGTATAGGTATTTCTAGTTGTATATGGACTCTAGTAAATATTTGAAAATATACGGAAATGTATTTGGATTTTTCTTTGACATGTATGAAATGTATTGTGGGGAGTTATATTTAACCACGAGTTTTCTTGTATTTAGGGGTCTATCGTTAGGCGCACTTTGAATTTATTTGTATGGTTTGGAAATCATTTACTGTTTGCCCACTCGTTTAATTTAAGTAAGCATGTTGTAAAGTGATTTTAATTTTACAATGATATTTTTTTTTCTCTCCCTGAGAATGGCTTTTTATGTGAGCCACTCAATAAAGTCAGTATGAATTCAGAAGCAGTTTGATCGACTCGGTTTGTTTGATTGTTGAGTCGATAAATCCATTTCTTAACAGCAAAGGAGATATCCCGAGAGCAGAATTCGTTTTACATCACGTGTGGATGTTTTCGAGCGTTTCAGGGGAAATAATGCATATAGTGAGCTTCATATACCGTCAAAGTTCAGATGGTGGTATGTACACTTTCCTTTAATTGAAAGTAAATGAGGGCAAAGGCCTACAGCAACACCAGGGCCTCATTAAAACAAATGAAAAAAATAGCTGAGTCTAAAAGATAATTAAAAATAAATATTTCTGTACTATGGCGATTACATGGGGAATGTATCTTATGGCCATGACAATCTCACACGTCTTTTTCAAGTCAGCATCATTCTAGCATGTTGGATACTTTGAAAGTCTTTGTTACAAGATACTTTATTTACTTAACAAAATATCTCGTAATTTAAATAATATTTATTTAAGGTGCTATTATTTTCATTTGCCTGTTTATTTCTTTAAATGGTTTTTTTCTTTACTTATCCATTAGATTCTTCACACCACCAAAGTTTAAACACACCATCTCTCAAGTTTTGTCCTCCTCTCAACGCACTTTTCTCTCGTCATTTTCTTAGGTGAGGAAATACAATTTTCGTGCTTGATTTTCTATAAATACTTTACATGTTTATGACATATGTTCTCTTAATATTTAATAGTTTAATCCGAATTTGGGGGGAAATAGCCATGTCCCCTTTACTTTGGGCATGATCATACAGTAATTGCAAAAATTACAATTCTCATTTTCTGTGTAAGCTTTAAGAAAGCCTAACACCTTTTATTTTTTATATATATTTATTTATCAATTCAAGCCAAATCCATCTTAATTAAGACTTTGCAACGGCCTTTTGGGACTGAATCAGATCTCGCACTTATCTATTAGCACGGACTTCGTATTTTTCTTTCGTATTTTCTGATAACTAATATATGTCCCAGGAACATTTTCTTAACCTTTTTTATACTTTCCATTCGTGTTTTTTTTTTGTTTCACGAGCCAAATCTATAAAACAGCTTTGTCAGAGAGGTGTGCGCAATGACAAGTTCATCCTCTCACACTGTTACAAAATAATGCGCGTGAAAAACGTCAACATGTTGCCCATCCTTTCTACAACTTTTTATTTATTCTTTATTATCATTTTTAGGGTTGCTCTCCGGTTGTGGGGAAAGTCTCTTGTCCGCAGGCCTTTAACTTACAGCTTGAGGCGCCCTCTAGCGTTTTTACGCGCAACTTAAGGGCCAATTTTATTCCATCTGGAGGAGTTTGGGGTGTTGATTCGTTGAATGTTTTTTTATTTTTTTATTTAGGTCGCTAAGTGTTGACTTCGTTCAATAAAAAAAGAAGTAAACTTTGATTGAGGGGGATCAAGGACATTTTCTGCTCCAAAATATAAAAATGATAACACTGTGAATCAACTGATTTCGGACGCCCTGTTATTTGTGATGACAGTGATCTCATCATAAAAGTCCATCCTAAAAAAAAAATCTGTCACCAAACAGGCTCTGAAGAGCTCTGTCTAATATTCATGAAGCATAAAATAACAGAAAGCTTAAAAAAAAATCTGAGCACTTTATTTGTTCTTGTTGTTTTAATTTATCGTCATTGCACTTTGTTAAAGATTAGGTCCACTGCTTCTAAACTTTCTTTACCTTAAACTTGACTTCATTCTATCATGTGTAGCTTAATCTTTTTACCCTACAAATGGGACGATGAAGAACTAACACATTTCTATAATGTGCTGAAAATGGCCTTTTAAAGTCTTATAGGCAATATAAACATTCTTTAATCTGCCCCAAGGAGGCAATTTATTACATAAAGACTCATCTCACTCCAGTGCTGCGTGTGCTCTCTGTGCAGTCTGATTATCATCTTCCCAGACTGCTGTAGTGTCGCTCGGTCCTCTGGAGGACGTCTCCCCACTGGCCTCATTTGAATTAAACTGGCCTCAGGAAGTGCACACATGCCAGGAAGAGAAGCAGCCAACTGTGGATGACGTCCACAATAAGGGCACCCAGTGTGTTAGCAGCCAGCTCCACTTTGATCCCATCACCAGGAATAAAAGCAGAGGAATCCAATCAAGCCGACCTGGACAAAACATGGATTTGAGGTTACATTTGGCGTAATAAATCCCAAACTTGATCACAGTCACGCAAGATATTTTATGCAAATACAGGTTGCTACTAATATGATGAGATGTAGGTTTTTATTATTCGACCAGTAAATCATGATGTTGTTGCAACAGCTCTGACCAGCGATGCATCCGGGGCCAATTCTGTGGTTAAAAACACCAGACACCCAGCAGTTGTCATCAAACCAGCCAATCTCAGGGGAAAGGCAGTTGGAACAGATCCAGAGGTTAGTCAGAATAATTAATAGTAATTGCTTTGAGACGGACAGGCTTAATTTGCACAATGCCGTCATCAATTTAAATTAATTTACCTCACAGGTTGTGCATCACCTGTCTGATCAGGGGATGGAACATCACTCTGTACTTTTTAGAATTTGAATGATGCTTTAAAAGACGTCAGCACATGACTGGAATGAGGCTATGAAGACTTAAAGATGGGAAAAACACGCTGCACAAAAATGCCTTCGACCTAAAAAACTAAAGAACATCACTTGCTTGGTTGTAATCTGTGAGGCTGTTTTACTTCACGCGAACCACAATAAACCAGGTTTTAGACTAATGAAAAGCCAGCCAAGCAGTCTCTGATGTCAACAAACACCATGTTTGTCTTCAGAGTGGTCCCAGAAAGTGAAAGCCAAGACAAAGACCTGAGCCAGCATCCTGTGGCGGAAGTTGTTTTTCTGGTAGCAGATGTGGAAATCTACATGAAGAGTTCAATCATCCACTGTGTCGTCAATGGCCACCAGAAAGTTTTGATTAAGTTTAATCAGTACTTCTATATATGTCGTGTGTGTATTTCAACCGCTTTAGACCAGTTTCTTTGGCCATTTTAAAACAAATTTGATCAAAAGTTTTCCTAGGTTGAAGCAGAACTCTTTGAATAGGTAAAACTACATAAATGTTAGAAACCATCATCTGTCTCTTATATGAGCTTATGATCACCAGCTGGTCTAACTGGATGAATGGTAGAGAAATGGCTCCATCAAGTGGTATATTTATGTAAACACCTGACCAATTCTTTCTTATTTTTTGCCACACTCAACACACATTAGCAAGCAAAAGTCAAAATAAAAAATAAAATATTTTTTCAAAAATCTATTTGTTGCTCCAGGTAAGAACAAAAAACGTGACACCAACAATTATACTCCCAAGTCATTTTTGACTTTCAATGTGAGTTTGAATGCAGCTGTAGTCTTTCATCCTTTTCCAAAAGCAGGGTCCTCTGGATGGGCCTCTCCAGGTAAACAGGTCTGGGGGTACACTTTCCTGCTCCATAAAGTGTTGAGTCTGTGACGGTTCGCTCTTCCGTTCTGTCCTGGGTACACATAAAAACCTTTACCTTCTTCCACTGCATTTCTGCAACTTTTAATTAATTTCTGTCTATTTCAAAAGTGTGCTGGGTTCCTTTTTTTTCCAATAAGTCCAAAAGAGATTAACAGAAAATTGAGCTTGACGTTCCGGGTAAAGGTCTTCCTTAATAAATCTCCCAGGTGGTGGGGATAGGACTGCAGACTTCATGTTTAGGATGTGGTTTGTCATCAGAAGCTCTAGAGTCCAGACTGAATTCATCATTCAGATGATTAGTGGGCAGAGATCTGCTGTTTACAACTGCCAAGGGTCGAAGGTCATCAGGAACCTGTTATCCCCACTGAGCTTTTCTCATCCAATATACACTATGATCTGTTCTCCCACCAAAATAATGGTTGTCACCAGTTCAAGGGTTGTGTCTTGCTCTTCTTCTGCTTCCTTTAAACAACCGTTTTTACTATATAGTCATAGCTTATGGTCAGAGTTGTATTACTTGTTTGTGAAGATTCTCATGTCCAGTTGCCTGAACTTTTCAAACTTCCCAACTGTGGCAAGTTTGTTGAGTGTGTCGCTGAATTAGAACCGGGAGAAACAGCGGTGAACGATACCTTAGATTCCCATCCATCCATCCATTATCAATACCGCTTATTCCCTCATGGGGTCGCGGGGGGAACTGGAGCCTATCCCAGTGGTCAACGGGCGAGAGGCAGGGTACACCCTGGACAGTCCGCCAGTCCATCGCAGGGCCACACAGAGACACACAACCACTCACACTCACATTCACTCCTAAGGGCAATTTCCCCAATCTCCAATCAGCCTAACATGCAGGTTTTTGGACTGTGGGAGGAAGCCGGAGAACCCGGAGAGAACCCACGCAGACACAGGGAGAACATGCAAACTCCACCCAGAAAGGTCCTGGTTCCCCCGGGATTCGAACCCAGAACCCTCTTGCTGGGAGGCGACAGTGCTAACCACCACACCACCGTGCCGCCACCTTAGATTCCCCTCTGTGATAAATGCCTCCAGGTAGGAACAAAAGAAGTGAACCCTGTAACTGATACCATGGGCAGTGAAGACACAACTGGCAGTATAGTTCATGTTTTATGTTTTATAATTCTACATTTCCACAGGTCAACAAATCTATACTTTCAAATGTAAATAAATTTTGAAACTATTATCAAACTCTACATTTTTTAGGGAAACGAAGAACCCAGAATATAGCAGCATTCTGATTGGCAGATCATTTGATGTCAGAATTAAGTATAAAAGGAGCATATTGAAAGACTTGGTATTTATAGGCAACAATTGACATTCCAATGGCATGCCAATGGAAATTGGTATTCACCAGTTGATCTAAAGCCCATCAGGGAATTATTCATTGATTTAAAAAAAAAACTTGATTAAATGGCCCCCTGAAGTCCATGAGTCTCCTATTAAAAATGCATAGAGCATCACCAAAAAGAACAACAATAACCACAAAATATTGAGTGGGTGAAATAATGCATTTAAGAAGAATGGGAATTATTTTATTTGGCTCAAGAAAAAGTTCCATAATAATACAGTAAGCAAAAAAATGTGTGTTGTAGACATCAAAACTTGAATTTGTCTGTACTTTCTAAATCCATTTATGTTGGCAGGTAAATACATTTAATATAATGTATGTGTATTTAGAAAAAAAACTTATTTAGGATTCAGAGCTGGGCTGCTTTACAAAACTTGGAAACTTGGAAAACTTTGGACAACTTTCACCTAAATAATTTGTTTAACCTGCTGCTTTTATTCACAATATCAGCTGTCTCCCACAAAGATGAGCAGGAAGTGTTGGCATTTAAACACAAGACAAGTTATGTTTATAACCCTGGTAAATCATTACAATGAGTTAGCAATCCAACAAAAGCAGTACCAAGATCACAAAACTAACAGTTAAATGGAATTCAGCCTTTACCCTTCTCAGCTATAACATTGCTCCAGTGTTGTTCCCTCTCTCAGGGCATGTTTATGATTATGTAAAAGTCCAGGTACAATTTTAGCTCCAAATGTTTAATCTACTCAAGAGTGCTTAGCAGCATTCCTAGAGAACTCCATGTGGCTGAAAGGGCATGCAAATCCGGAGGCCTGTCGTTCAAGAAGGGACGTTTTTAGTCATTTTACTTAATAAAGGCAAAAATGGTGATTTAAATCAGAATCTATATCAGGAAATATGTGTAAACTATCAGTGATACAATAATATTTCTAAAAATTGCGTCTGATTTGAATATATTTGCCTACAAATATCCCTTAGTTGAGGAAACAACCATCATCCAGTCGTCTGACGTGTGTGTACAACCTGCTTATCTCAAATCTGACTCCAGTCGAAACCGCAAGTATCGCTCAGTTTCAGGTGTTGCAACTCTGCGTAAACAGAGTGCTGCACTCTGGGTAATGTAGTCATTATCCTCCAGAGGCCACTCCTCCGCCCGGTTTCTGTAATTACTTAAACTTCCAGTCCCAAAATGCTCCGTGCCAGAGAGCAAACAGAGCGGGGAGCTGTAACGTGAGGAGAGATTTATAGAAACGCCCTATAAAGCTTTCTCGGCTGCTCTCTTTTCCTGCCAGCGCGCCGAGGCATGTAAACACCTGAATGGTGTTGACGGTGAGTTCATTTGAACCCCTTTTAAAGTTTTATTTTTGTGTTTTGTCTCACTGTTTCTCATTGGTTTTAATTATTTGAAGTATGGAGTAAACATTTTCTCTATTAATATGTAACTACTCCGGAGGCTGTACACCTGTTGGATGTTGTAGATGTGGTTACTGAAGCTGAGGGGCTGTGAGTCCGAATCTGTGCTGCCAAGTGTTTTTCCACACACTGGATTATGAACTGATATATATTTGTTTGAAAGTAACATACAGAACCGATTATCTCTAAAACAGTCAACATTTGAATGATTACTGCTGAAATAGCAGATTTGATGTTGAGCGCCTGTTCTTGTCTGTGGGGAATGAAAGCCTCCCACTCCACTCAACATGAGAATAAAGATACTTGAACTTTAGGTTTATGCATTACAGTGTCACTGCTCTTTGATCAGAGTAAGATGCTCAGAGAGAATCGACTTCTGTGTCACATAGGCTTGACAAGACCGACCTGTTTTTGTGCACTGGTGTATGTAAACCACATTATTAATGACTGACTCACTGACAAGTCTTGAATGGGTAGTGTCATTTTACGCAAACAAGTGACAGGATGACGAGTTCATGCTTTATTACTCTGGTTTGGAACAGTTTCCTCTGTCTGAAGAACACTTTTCGGAAACAGAACAATGCTCTAGCCTATTTCTCAATGGTTGCCTCTTTTGTCACCAAAGCAGAAAAATACTGTGGACAGTATGTCTATCTTCGTAGATTTACAAGGTTTGGAGAACATAAGTGCCACTCAAGTTAGGTTTTGGATGGAAGTATAAACAAAATGGTAAAAATAAAATTAGTGTAAAGTGGCTTTAGACAATTCATTGTTTTATCCGCATGTCCTGAAATATCTCCAAACATTTAAATGCGACGGTAGGACTCTGTCCATTTAAAGTTGTTCAGATTTTCATGAGTGATCAATAGATCCAACGCAGCCAAGTATAAATATAGATATTTTATAGATTTCTAGATGTTTACTTTAGATGTTTTCTGTTCATGAACCTGTTAAATGATAGCTATCAAAACTTTTCAAAATTAAGATAACAGCAGTTTGAGGTAAAAAGCTTAATAAAGCATTTTTTTTGACAGATGCAAACATGGCGGCCGGAGGAGATAAGCCCTTTCAGTCCTTTCATCGTGTTGGGAGTCTCATGAGGAGTAAATCAGAGGGTACTCTTATTGATCTGAGTGAGAGCGTCTCAACCAGTGGCAACCTAAATGGTAAATCTCTCGCCAATTTTAAATGTTCTAAACGTTAAAATCTGTTTTAAGTTTGAACCGAACTTCTAACTGAGCTCTGATTTTTCAAAGGTGGGCATGTATCAGGGAGCCAGTTTTTACAGTCAGAGGCATCACAGTCATCTCAATTGCAAAACCCCTTTTGGAACAAGCTGTCGGGATCAAACCCCTTCCTAGATGACATCGTACACACCCACACAGACAAACGCGTTGCCAGCACACCTGCTGTAAAACAAGACAACAAAACACTTTTGGATGAGAGTAATGAAGACGCCATCAGTACGTCGTCCGATGAAGGAAATTTGGGCAACTTTTTGGAGAACAAACTCAGAGCTGTCAATCGATCTGGGAGATGGAGGAGCGCCTCGGACATCCTGGGCGATCTGGAGAGAAGGGTGCCCAAACGCAACGAGAGTTTCAGACCGCCTGGAGGAGTGCTGAACCCAGATTTTGAGTGGCTAAAGAATGACAGAGAGGCCTATAAGATGGCCTGGCTGAGCCACAGGCAACTCACCCGCTCCTGCCTGGACTTGAATGTGATGAGCCAGAGCCCTGGATGGGCTCAGACCCAGGCCTCGAACTTTCAGGTAATCTGCAAGGTCGGCCACGGTGGTGGCTCGGTGCAGTTACCAGAATCCAAAATTACCGTCCACGTTCCACAAGGGCACATTCCTCCCGGAGAGGTGCAGGAAGTTACACTGAAGGCAATGCTGGACCCTCCACCAGGACTCAACAACAACTACGTGACCACCATGAGCCCACTTCTGGAGGTTCTCCTAAGCAACAGCAACACTAAGGAGAGCTTGTCCGTAGATATGAAACTGTCAGGAGAAGTGAAAAAGGACCGTTCAAGTCAGGAGATGACCACTGTCTTTGGACTAGTGTCCAACAAAAGAGAAGGGCCGTACCTCAAAACGCACAACTGTTACATCTATAAGAACACCATGCAGATGAAGCTTCAGGACTTGAAGACGCATTTTTTCGTGATCGCGGTTGCAGAAGCTGCTGCCGCTGCCACCTCAGTCTGGGATTGCCTCGACCGCCAACTAACTGTAGCAGTCTATGGCCCAAGGTACATCCATCCAAAATTCAAAGTAGTCGTAGTCGTCTGCTGCCACGAGGACGTTCCGCCAAAACTTCCATTTGCGGATATTTGCAGAGGCAACAAAAACCTTCCTCCACTGGTGCTGCAGCTTTGGGGGAAGCATTGCTTCAAACCCGACAGGCTGAATGACTTTCATGTCAGCTTTGGCATCCAAGGCTCGATGTTTACAATCAAACCTGAGGACAAAATCAAACAAGTGAGACAAAGCCGGCTCAAGATAGGGACTGTTTTGCATCTGCCAGTTGCATTAGCTTGTTCTGGTAGTACAGACATGGCACCTTTTAACTTAGATGTACACGTAAAGGACTCAAACTTGAGTTTGACTGCTGCACATTTCCAGGTGCCCTCCCCCCCTGCAGCGCCCATCAGATCCAAGAATAGGGTGCAAAGACAGATAGAGAGGAAGATCGAAACGATTCCAACCGTGCCCATTCCGGAAGAAATTCCTTCCGATTTACCCAAATTCAAGGACAGACCGGTGCAGCTGCAGTGGTATGGAGTTGCCGTGAAGTCGGTTCTCCGTCAGCCACGTGTAGAATACTTACTGGAGTACTTCAAGGGCGACACGGTGGCCCTCCTTTCCAGAGAGACTGTCAAATCAGTCGGAAACTCAAAGGTAAAAGAGTGGTATATTGGATTCCTCAGAGGCAGGACAGGCCTGGTCCACTGCAAAAACATCAAACTCATAACCAGCGACCAGGTGATAGACTTCACCGGTGTTCAACTCTCCACAGAGGTCCTGTTGGACAACATGACACTTCCCTTCAAAAAACTTACCTACATGTATTCAGCCATCCAGACACTGGTGACGGAACATGTTACCAGTTGGAGACGTTTTGCAGATGTTTTAGGATATGGGAACCAGACTCCGGACACGATCAAATGGAGGTATGCTGAAACTGAAGCTGATAAGGTGGCCTGCATTCTGGAGAAGCTGAAGGAGGACTGCCACACGGACAGGTTTAAGAGAAAGTTCCTGCATGAATTAATTGTGGTGAGTCATGATGAAATTACGTCATTAAAGCTAGTGGTTTTCTGAGTGTCAGCACTCAAAACAATAAAAATGGTAGTATGCATTTTTCATTTTTAGTCATCAAAATTGTGCAAACCTTATGAAGTTCTAGCTTCTGCCTCTGCTCATCAGCCACTTTGTTGTATATGTATTGGCTGTTTTGACTCAATTTACTGTTATACGGTTTTCACTGGGCCAAGCCTTAGCTTTTTGGCCGGTAGCCTTACCTTTGACTCTTGAATACTCTGGTGTCACAGCCAGCCAAAAACTGCAAAGTTCCCAGGTTCTGTGGCCCAAATCATCATTCCTCCTTCACCATGCTCGACAGGTGGTATGAGGTTTTTGTGCTGACATTCTTTGATTGTTTTTTTTCCAGACATTACCACTCTGTCTTTATCTGTCTAAGGGACATTCTTTCTTTGTAAACGAGGCCTTAGTACAATGTTCATTTTAGAGAGTAGAGGCTTTCTTTTGGAAAACCCGTTATAAACAAGTCAAACCTGTCTGGTCATTTGATAATTATACCATTTTGAACAATAACATTTACTGTGCTATCTGAAATCTTTAGTGCTGCAAAAGTTTTTTTTTACTCTTTCAACTTTGAGCAATACTCACCACCCCATTATGCCTCTGATGTATGCATCAGGGTACGAGCATTATATGACAAAAGGCTCTGTGTAGCCTTTGAGACTGAACACAGTAAGAGGTGCCGGGCGAGTGTCTGCGTGTAAGGGGTGAACAAGACTGGAATGCTGTCTATGTGCCATTCCTTTGGAAATACCAGGCACAATCTTAGTGTTTTACTCACTGTCTCAGCATTTTGGTTTATTTTTTTCCCAGTGTGTTACTATTTGATGCAACGTATCATGTTCATGTGATGTTCTTCTCAGGTTGTTTTCTTCAGTGCTTCAGACTTATAGGGACAAGATTAATTGTTTTTTTTACCAACAGATTAAAATGTAGGCTAGACTGTATATTTTTTTGTTGATGAATTAATACATTTAGTCCTTTCTGTCATAAACAAGGGTCTGCTGAAGATGGACTCTGTGGCTCTTGTGGCGCAGCTCATACAGAACACAGTCATTTTGTCAACTGCTGTGGAGCTTGGAATCCGATGGCGGGAGCTTGCTGAGAAGACGGGGAAACTATCCAGTGCTCAGATTGAGGGGTATGAGGCACCACACCGAGGGAAAAATGGTGAAGTCAGCACCCAAGTGAGTTCAAGTGCACATATCAGCAAAGCAAGTAAAGGATGCACTGTAGATCAGTTTTTCCCCACCCCTGGTTTGTGGACTCGGCCCTCCATCTTTGTATATGAACTCTAAAAACAATTGACTATTTTCAGTGGGTTTGCTGTAGCAAACACATAAATGAATAAGAAAAAATAAAACAAGCATGGTGGGCCCAGGGTTTGGAAACAGGGCTGCAGATTGTTCTATGATGATGGGAATCATGACTCGCAGTAAATTGTACTGAGCTATAAATCTCATCATTGTATATTGTTCTTTTACCAGGCCATGTGGAAGCCTGCCTATGACTTCTTGTACTCCTGGAGCCTGCATTATGGAGATAGCTACAGGGACATGATCCAGGATCTACACCTGATCCTAGATAAAATGAAAAACCCTGCCACCAGGCAGTGGAGACACCTGACAGGTGCTCTCATTACGGTGCACTGCCTCGATAACTTTCGACACTCTGCCTTTCCAAAACCTTAAACCTTATGCACTTCATAAATGACATAACTGCCAGCACCTGGGAATGTAAAAAAGCTAATTTAGTTTTAGTGAGGAGGAATTTACATGTTACTTACTGACATTTTTGTTTGTCCAGCACATGTTCTCGTGTTAAAAATCTGTTTTTTAAAAACACTGAAACATTAATGATTATATCTGTGAAATGACATGTGTCAGTAGATACTTTATGTTTTGGTAGATTTTTGTATTTCATGTATTTAAAAAGGTCAGCAGTACCCAGCTGCTATCCTGGATACCGGCAAAAACCATCCAGTGAATAAACTTATATCTCAATCTTTCATTCACCTTAAATGATGAACTATGCCATACTTTACTATACTATACTATACTATACCATACTATACTATACTATACTATACTATACTATACTATACTATACTATACTATACTATACTATACTATACTATACTATATAAGTCTCAGGTTTGTCATTTGTTTTTAAATCTGAGTCAAAATGATCTTTATGGCTTCTGTGAATGTGGTATTGTTTAAAAAATGAATTATCCTGTAACATTCTGTAAGGTGAATGAAAAGCTTGGAATCAGATAAATGTGAACAGTGCTGCAGAAATCCCAAGGGTCGTATATTCTTAATCGTGTGTCAAAGTTTGTATGCTGAAAAGAAACATGTTCTACCAAAGTCAGTTGAATGAAAGCGGTACGTAAAAGGGGCTGTAAACCATGTGTCATAAACCTTTGTTTGTTTTAATACTAATGCTATTTTTATATGATGACGTTTTAGATATTCAAAATGCAAATGATTTATTAAAGTGCACAATGCAATGTTGTGTTATTATTTATCAAAACCTTACATTACATACAGTTGAATCACTGAAGCTGATAACGTTTTCATTAGAAAATATTAGAATATATCTCCTCTAAAGGAAATATCAGAGTTTGCTAAAACAACCCTGGAGTCGGAAAATTAAGTGCAATTCAAAATATATATCAATGAACATATAAACTGATGACCAAAATATGCCATCTTCATTATTTAGAAGATACAGTTTGTGGTAGCTTTTGTGTCTCCGCTTTATTCGGTCCTGAACAAATGGCTTTGTGTGCCAGCATTTTCCATTGATTTTCTTTGGATTGTTTGCCTTTCTCCACACTGTTTGCTTAAGCTAGTTTCTGCTGAGAGAAGTATGTGCTGATTCTCTATCAACCAGAGAGCACAGCACCGTGTACACCTGAATGCACCACAGGAAAAGATAATCAAGGAAGCAGAGTGGTGTCAGGTAGAAGATTAAACTGATTACTTCTCTGAGAGAGGTGGAGCTGAGTTGTACAGTCATAATGGTGGTTAGCACAATGTTCAAATTATAGAAGTGAAGCACAGCATGCATGATCACAGATATTCAAACCCAAGCTTGAGCTCAGACACAAATCACAGAAGTACAATTGTTCAGAAAAATGACTGATGTACTACTTTAAATTAGCAGTTTCTGCAGTGAAATGGAAAAACCAGAATTCTGGGCTCCCACATGTATTTGTTGAGCACTACTCTGTCCTCACTCCATCCTTCATTAGGAAACAGGACAAAGGTCCAGTGTTTTGGGGGGAAAGTAGAGAGTTTACACAAAGGAGGGACTCCCAGTCAGATTTGCTTACACCTTATTCTCTGGATATGTCACTATTCATTGTAGATGAGCAATGATGGGCTCTGTTGTGAAATGTTTTTCATTAAATATCAAGTCTCACCAAGATCTGCACACTGTAAGTGTTTTCTGAGAGGAAAATACGGTTTCCTTTGTTAAGAGATGCTGTCTGTCAAAATACAGCATGCCAGCATGTTCTGTTACTGCTCTGTCACACAATTTAGATCAAATCTTAGCTAAGTATTAGATTAGAAACACATTGCATGGGCAAATGTCTTTAACAGCAACGCAGTAATTGTGGCTGTCACTGTGCGGGGCTCTGAGTGAACCGAACACAAACTGTCCCAGACACCCGGTGCCCATTTCCGAGGTGCAGTGAGGCGTTAATCTTTGTGACTAATGAAATGTGACCACTTTTGTTTAGAAAGCCTTTTGCCATGGCAGCAGGATGAGAGTGCCGACAACAGTTATCTCTTATGGGTATTGTTGACTGTCAAGTCATGAAATGTTTGCGGCCTGACTGTCATCTGTGGGTTTGAATACAGAAAGTGTGTGAGGCAGGTTTACAAAAAGGGAAGCATCTATTTCAAGTGTTGTTTGAACAAAGAAGACATAGAAAAAAAACACGGAACTTTAGGTGAGCAAACAAGACACACTGCTGGAAAATTTCTTGAGAACAGACAGTAAAAATGAAACCTGTAACGGCTTAGATGCAAAAACCTGGTAAAAGAATTTGGTTGAGAGAACAGAACTGGGAACCTCTAGTGGACGGTAAAAAGTCAGACGAAAAAACAAACAGATAAAAGGAAGAGTAATTGGAAAAAAATAAGAAAAGAAAAGTAACTGAACATAAGTTAAAAACATTACATCTCTGTTGTGCGTCAGTGTGAGCCTAAAATCACCACACATTTTCTGTTAAACATAAAGTTTAACTTTGATTTACTGAATAAAAATACCTTTTTTTAAAAAAAGGAAAAATAACAAATTGTTAAAAGACTAAGGCAAGAGAAGCAGGCATTGCAAAAGAACCAGAAAAAAGTTCCAATCTTAAATTTGCCACATACATGCAAAATACATTTTGGGAAATACACATATTTTTATGTAAGGAGCACATTGGAAATACTGTGGTGCTCTTTAAGCTCTACTTCTGCTCTACCTCTCCCAGTCCAGTGAGCGGTGCTGTTGTTCTGACTTTGGGCTGCAAGTTGCCCTGTGCTAATTTGTGTCAGCTGTGATGTGTCATAACCAAAACAACACATTTTTTATTAATTGCATTAACTTTGCATAATCAATATGTGTTATATATACTCAGGAAACAATATTACAAAATGAGAAACCAAAATTCTCAGTTGAAAAATGCCTTTAAAAAGCACCAGTAATGCTGAATTCATTTTTAAACTTCTTGAATGTTTAAAACTCCATATCAGTGGCCCTCAGAATAATTCAACAATATATTTAAAAGTATGTTAAACAAATTTCTGAACTCCCCAGCTTTGAGAGCATCCACAAATCACTGTTATGAACAGAAGCATTCCTCTGTCCTCTAGGGTATATAAGACTTCATTTAGTTTGCCACCATGATATATGTTGAGGGCAAGAAGTCATTTAGCTTTCAATTTATTAGCCTAGTGATTTATGCATGCTGCAAAGGTAGTGGTGGTATCTCCCCCCCGGCCCCCCCACCCTTGTCCCTCCTACACCCCTCTCAGATTGGACTCTATTTGGAAATAGATGATGTGAAAGAGGAGAAAATGGAGCAATTAGAAAAATTCTGAACAAAAAAGGGGGGTTACAGTTTCTGTGGTTGCACTTCATTTATCACTAATGTTTCAGTCACTCAGCAAAGGATTAAATGTTGCGAGCTTTTCGCTGCAACATTTTTGGATATTTTAAGAAAAGGAAAACTATTCACAACCCCCGAAAGCAGATTTCTTTAAGCAAATCTGTCCCTGCTCAATGGAACTGCTTTTCAGAGTGATCCTGTAGAGTTAGTTAGCATCTTGACTAACAAAATTGGATGAAATAAAGTTATCTCCGAAAATACAGACAGCTGTAGTTCTGCAAACCTGCTGATTCACAGTTTCCAGATAGAGAAAAAGTTTATGTTGAATGCTAAAAGGTGTTGAGTGCTTCCCGAGATCAGCGCCTTTCTTCTGACTAACAGCCCGCATGGAGCCTCTTCCCAAGGCCACCGCTGGGAAGGAGGAAGCTCTGTTACCAAATGAGTCACGGGGAAAAAAACAAAACCTGAAGTGTTTGGCAGCGTTCAGAGAAGTTTTATGAGTAATCAGCGTCCACATCATCGGACACCTCATTTTATTCTCACTCTCACTTTTTCCACTAGCCAACTGCACAAAATCCAAGTATCGTCATGGCGGAACACTGTGATGATGAAGAAGAGAGAAAATTAAAGATACAAATAAGCATTGTTTTAAATGAACATCCACATCTGCTTCTTAAACCACAAGAAAGTCCCTCATTCACAAAAATCGCTCTCCCCTCAACGGGGTGATGGTGTTTCTCCAGCTTCTGCTCTGTCCATGGGGAAGTTTATTTTCGTTGATGTGATCTCGTCCTCTTGTTACAATAAGAGGTTTTGCCAGGTGTGCCATGATGGTGTAGAGGAGGAGCAAGGACAGCGTCTGCCGACAGGTCTGGTGCACCAGCAGTGACACTCCCAGTTCCTCAGTAATCTCTAAACCAGATGGAGGAGGCAGCGGATGAGACATGGGAATGTGGAAGACAGCAACACTGTATTTTGATAAAGAACATTTCACTAAATCAGTATGTTTGTTTTTTTTTCATGAGAGACGTACCCATGTGACTAAATCAGCCCAAAGTAGGACTTTCAGGGACCTTTTTAGTCACATCACTTGTCCTCATAGACTTATAACTCACTGTATTTACAGCATTACTCCTCAGGCCTTCGGGGTAACACCGGTATTACTTTACTCCTTTAAATGAATCAGCACATGTGGTGTGATCATCTGTCAACAAGACAAAAACAACACATTTCAGAGGAAATGCAAAAACATAAAAAAGACTTTGGAAGAAATGTATTTCAAGACAATACAACTTCAACAAAACTGTTATGAGAAAACAAATCCTGGCTCATCTTTTTGGATATTTTGGTTTTGTCAGTGCATTTTTCCCTGTTGTGTGCTTTGCAATACATCTCTTGAGTGGGGACAGTAACTGTAAGGTAAAATATGCATGCAAAGGTATTAATCATACTAACACATTCAAAATCATGGGTTGAGAAGAATGATCAGATAAATTTGCCTCTTGTTTTTTTAGATAAAAAGTACATTATTTGCAGCTGTTCCCAGCTGAGCTGGGATTTGACCTGAGCAGTTTAAAAAAAACTTAGCATCACAAGAAAATGATTGGGCTAGGAAAGAAGAATAAACAAATATTTGATCCACAAAACTGTTTTCTTAACTCAAACGAGAGATTAATATGAGAACATTGGAGGAATTGCTGAGTGCTAAAATGAATAAATCTATCAAAACTTATTTGTGCAAGGCTTTGAGGTGACTGTATAGGTCCTAAAGTGTCACCGATGTGGGGATACAACACGGATCCCTGACAATCTAAATGCTAAAAGTGATGATGCAGTCAAGTATGTTTGAAGAAGATAGTAAAACTGGACCAGAAATAAGTAGCAAAGAAGTTAGTGTGTCAGTTTTCACAGTAACCACTGCCTCGTCTGACAGCTATTCACTATTCAGCGTCTTTCCTCAAGTTGATACTTGAGGAAGAGCTGGGTGGCCGTGATCGAACAACTTCCACTTTGATGAGTTAGAACAAGCAACATCCCGGGACTGAAAAGAAAGTTGACAAATCAGTCGTGATAAAGGAGGGGCCATCAATCTGCCACAGTAGAGTGTCTCCTTGGTTAATTTCTGTCAACCA